GATTTCTATGGCATTTACTTGCCAAATCATAAAATATTGAATTGAAAATATTATTTTCTTATTTGTGAAATTTAATAAAACCATCTGGTACCCTCGATTTTTTTTAATTTAAAAGATGTTGTCAATATTATTATAATTGTTATAAATTATAAATTTGTTAAATTAATTTAATGATCACGTTAAAATATTATACTGTGAGGATGTTGAACTTACCACAATGCGCTTTAATTGAGAATAATGTTATTAAAACTTACACTTTCATTATAAATAATAAAAAATACTAACAAAATCAATATATAGAATGAAAGAACATAATTTACTATCGTATAACTTTTAAATCGAAGAGGATATTAAAAAATGTTTAAATTTCAAATATAAAAGTCAAAAATTTTACCACTTTTTCTTGTTTAATGACGCAATTTAATCGCAACATCATAGTAAATTTGTAGATCTTATTGATTCAATATGTTACCAATAGCTCCAATATATAATTGCAATACTTACGTACCCCATCAATCGGCTATACTCAATTGTACACAATTTTACTTTTATTAATGCATATGTATGTATTTAATAAACAATATTTATTTATTTTCACTTCATACACAAGTATGTATAGTATATGAATTTTATATATTATAATAAATGGTTATTTACAAACATTTTTGTAAATACTTTTATATTTACATCTATATAATAAAATAAAGTTGGGTCAAACCAATGGTTTGTATTGTAGCACTTTTCCCTTCAACAAGTGAAAATTCTGCTTTTAAATACAGTCTATGTATACCTATCAAACTATTAAAATTATTTTCATTCATATACAAAACTATTTCTAGAATTGCATATATTTAGGATGACGCATATATGCAGTCTTTGAAATAAAGCAAATATTAATATAAAAAGGGGTTAACATAATGCTCGATTTTAAGGGTTAATTGTGTGAGTTAAGAAAAATAATTATATTTTTTAATTTCATGGAATTTACCGTTAGCTTTTTGCGTTTATAAAAATTTGGAAAAGCTTGCGGTTTCGGAAATATAAGGTGTCAAAAATTCAAATTTTACGAATTTCAAGAGGTGATAACTAGAGAGGGGGTGGAGATGGTAAAAAATTTTCTTCTAACGAAATAAACTATTTGTTAATGTCTAAAAGCTCCTAAAATTTCAAGCTTCTACAGGCTGGGGTCTAGAAGAAAAATGACATCAAAAATTTGGAAAAAAAGGACTTTAGATAACGGTAAATTTGAACGGCCATTTTGTTTTTCTAAAGTTTAACTATAGTATACCGCGCTAGGGGAAGCAAGTCGCTGCCTTTCTGCGTTTGCAAAATTTCAAAAATGGTTATGGTTTCATTGCAACAAATATTTAAAAAAGGCCATTTTTAGGGTTTTGGGGGGGTATAACTTCTAGAGCGGGGGAGATAGGTAAAAATTTTGTTCTACGGAAATAAGTTTCTAGTAGAGATCTATGTACGTATGAAATTTCAGCTTTCTATCTTAAAGGGTGTAGAAGTTTTGTAAACAAAAAAAGTGTCCACGGACGGACGGACGGACGGACGGACGGACGGACGGACGGACGGACAGAGTGAAACTAATAAGCACTTTTTTCAAAAAATTTTTTGGAAAAGTGCTAAAAATTACGAATTAAATTGATGTTCATGTTTTATATAAAAACAGTATAAGAAATTAATAGGATTTATTATGCCCCCACTATTATATCTCATATTAAAATAAAATGAGATTCGACAAATAACAATAATATTGGTATACCTATATACTTGTGATTGTTTGTAATATTAAACATATATACGTAATGGATTAAGTTGGTGGTGATTGGCAGGAAATCCATCTATAGTAAACACTTTTAAAGACAACAGAAATAATATATAAACACACAATATGTTATACGAATGAAATTACTGTAGCTATTGGTGAATCTGTAAAAAATTTATATTATATAAAATGTTTACAATTTCATCCAATATATTGAATGAATAACCAACATGACACTTTGAATGTTTCAATTTCATCTCAGTCACAAAAAAAAAAAACACAAACAAAATTAAAAACATGAAAATTAAGTAAATATGTATATAAAAAGAATGCATTAAATTGAAGTTTTATTAAATTGGAATGAAATGACAAAATTAATGACATTCACCTAAATGACAATATTTTTTTTTTTGTTAGTCGTTATTTACAGGGTGAGTAAATGAGAATTCGAAAATATTTTTGATCCTTATTGGAAATTTGGAAATATGTAAGTTATATTCATTTGTAATGTGGGTAATAACATCTGACATAAGTTTAAATGCTGCATACGAAAATGTTGATTTTAAATATTGTAGGTTCCATTCTGAGCTCTTACTAATGTTAATGTTATTTCTAATTTTAATTTTGAGAAATTCATTATTAATAATTCCCTAGAACATGTTTGTCAATATTAGATGAGAACATACTGAACATTTTACATGATGTTGTATAATTCTAGTAATTTTGCAATAAAATTGTAAATTATAAAAAAAATTTGCATGACCATAAATTTTTAAATTTGAATTTTAAAGCATAAAATTAATTTCCATTATTATTTAAAAATATCGCGTATTCCATAGAAATTATATTTAAGAAAAAGGGGGCTTCTTCGACTTTTCATATATTACGTTTAAAATTTATTTATTTATTTTCTTATTCATTTATTTCTTTTACTATACCAATTATGTGTAATACACTTATGTAAAATGCATGCATTTTATGAAAGACATTTATTTCCAGTACACGCAATTTAGCATATGTTTTTTTTCTCTGTTTCGTGTATTTATTTATGATTTCGCAAAAAAAATATTTTTTTTCTTTTTAATAATCATTTGCAATTAAATTTCCAAGTAAGTCACAGTTCGATGACCATAAAATGCACGGAAAAACAAAGCGTTTATATACAACGTCTCTTTAAAATTTTTTTAGTATAAAATTTTAATTTCATTTACCATAAAGTATATATTATGTACATTGCTGGTATGCAATGTACATTTTTGACCATCTGACTGATTTATATAATATTATACAATAAATTTTTAACCCTTTTTCTTTTCGTATATTTCTGTCCAGAGAGTGTACTTAAGTTAAATGATACACAAGCTATACACATTTTCCTATATATATATATATACAAAAAATAAAAATTCAAATAAATCATCGAGCCCTTTGCTTTCAGCTTTTTTAACGCGCAATGCATAAAATATTATGCAGGACAATTTCACAGACAAATATAATATACTTGCTTACATACAAGTATGCACACCTTACTATTATTTTGTTTACATTATATATGTACTATGTATTATTGTGGTTAACGGTTGACTTATTTTGTTAATAATAAAAAATTCACTGAAAACATTTTATAAATAAATTGGTGTACAAAATAATATTAAAAAGGGAATAAATAATATGTTAAAAAAAAAAATATCCAAAACCGATTGTTAAAATTTGCATATAATTTGAAATAACGAAAAAAGAAAAAAAAAATTTAAAACTAGTAAGCGATTATTTACCAATTTTTACACTCCTCTATGATAACTCAAACCGCAATGTGTTCTTTCTTCCATTTTTACCTATATTGTACAACATAGATACCAGTTAAGGAGAGCGATTTAACAGAAACTCTATATTCTATAGAAAATGTGTAACGAATTTATTATTTTAATAGTTATAAACTGCTATTTTTATTATTACTATTATTATTTTATTTTACAAAAATATTGTTGTTCGTTGCAATAAGTTTTCCAAGAATACCAGCTTACCGACATAAAAAAAAATACTAATAATCATCCTTCTTCGGCTACGATCGGTTTTATGTGTCAAAAATAAAGAATTTATGTTTAATGTTAAGACGAAAGATGTTCACTTATCATGCCAGCTTATTGCTATTTAATTAAGGTAAATAAATTTATTTGGGATATGGGCAGGCCTATGTTCATTAGAAAACTTACTATTCTAAAAATTCATTAAATATAACAGTAGAATATTGTACAGCTGCAAAAAAATCAAGTTGATATTTATGGAGTATATTTTTGTTATTGTCTAATCGAAGCTAAAAATTTTATTAATTTCTTGGAAATCTTACAAATTACGGCTGCGGGTTTTGAGTGAAGTGAAAAATCATTTTATTTTCAAAACACTTTTAAGATTTCTCGAGTTTTTATTTTAAACAAAAAACCAAGAATGTTGCGAATTTCAAATAAGAATATTAAATTAGAATTGATGTGATCGGGATGAAAGTAATTAACATATTACCCATTTCTTTAAGAAATTCATGGAAGAGTTTCATGGAATTATTCAGTTGTTCACGATGCTTTGTTATTCTCAATAGTAACAGTATAATTATAATGATTACAAAACATTTATCAAACAGTTTAACAACAGATTCTGAATTACTAGATCTTTATTCGTTTTCAAGGCGAATTATCACCGAGATTAAAAATATTTTTAATTCCGAAAAGTTCAGAAAATTCTGTTACTTGAAATTTTTTTTTAACAATTTTTGACTCACAATTGTGAGTATTGAACTTCCTCTAATATAATTGTCGAATTTGAAGGGAATAAGTTATTTCTGTAAGCCCAAATTACCATTAACATGTTGCCATTTTGTTACTACTTCTTCTTTATTACTTATTATAATATTATATTTTTGCTGTTTGGCAACCCGTGATCTATTACTATGGTAAAATGTCGTGTTATATTTAAATAAAACTGTAACAAGGATGAAAAATACAACAAAAGCAATTTGTATGGAATAGCAACTCATTTTTGTATATTTTATTTAACTAAAATTTTCAAAAAAAAAAAAAATAATTTTTTGAATCCATATTTTTACCTCTTATGTTTTCTTTCCAAATATTCGTATAAAATCTCTATTTCACTTTAATATTTTTATTATATAAAATATATATTAGCTACATTATATAACAATATACTTACATATACTCTTTTTTTGTATTTTCAGGTGTTGGTGTAATATTAGTTACAGTTAGTGGAGCTGCATGGCGTATGACTGCACCAGGTGGTCCACCATGTTTAGGTTTAGGTTCAACAGTCGATTTAGGTCGTTGTGGTAGACGACCATGTAGTCGTGGTGGTGGTGCACCACATGGTCTATTATATCCAGAATTTCAACATAGACCACCGCCACCATCATATCAGGCTAGTATGCAGGAATATAGATTAAGGTAAATAATAATATTGCATTTATATTGTTTTTGAAAAATTTTTGTATATATAGAAATTTTCGTATGGATGTAAGCCTTTATATGAAATTATTATGTTCTGATTTGTTACAAATTCAGTAAAAGGATGTAAATTTTAAAAATTTTTGTTTTTGAAGTAAAAATTACTTTTAAAATTTATAAATTTCTCATTAAAAATACAAACACAGTCTTGCCGTATATTAACTGTTGCCATTATTATAAAAGGTTTATCATAAGCTTTAAAAAGAAATTAAAATATTTTGTTTGGATATTGGTTATATTAAAAGGTGCTAGTTTCGTAAACTTTGTAGGTTCCTAAAGCACGGGCTTACATATTTCCTGCAAAATTTTTCTGCAGAGAACATAAATTTTCCAAAAAGGCAAAAAATTAAACGTGAATTTTCCTGATCAATGATTTTTATCATATCTGGCTAGATGCTTAAATTTTTTTTAACATGAATGAAACAGAACATTAGAAAATTATTTTTAGCTTTTTCGACAAAATTGCAATTATTTAACTTTCTGAATTTATAAAAATTCAAGAAAAATAAGAACTACTATACAAAAATTTAGAGTTATGTAATGTCAGAATATAAAAAGGATCAAAAAATACTTGTATTCTATTATATTCAACTATTTTTTTTTAAAAAAAAGGACTTTCAGCTATGGTAACAATTTAATATATGGCTTTATATAAACATAAATATTATTTTGGTGTTGGATATATATAATAGAACCTACAAGAGAGAAACGAAGAGAGAGTAAGAGAGAAAGCACCGAATTCAATAGGACATAAATTTTTATTAATCAAATTAAAGTTTCTGTATTATAAGTGAGATATAGGAGAAAAAGAAATGAAAGGAGACTTGAATAAAAACATGACGGGTTCCGTTCTTTTCATTTTTCTCTTATTTTATTATTATTGTTATTATTTCTCATTGTACTTTAATATATAAATTTTCTGCATATCCTTTTTATGTTTTTATATTGTTTTCTTTTATATTTTTTTCATGTTATATAATATAATAATATTTTACGGGCGGAAAATAGTGAAAAGAGCGAGAAAGAAATATTAGTTTTTTTTTGTAGTTCTTATTTTCTTTTATTTTTGATTCTCTATATAGTTATAGGGGGTATACCTTTTCTTGTTAGATTATTTTCATCGTTCACAAAAATTATGTGAATAAAGCACGAAATATCCTTTCTCTCATGATTTGTTTTCAACATTGTATAATGCGGTTGAAAAAAAGAACATAAGTATATAATAAATGTTTGTGTATGTATGTTTGTATGAAGAGGAATTATAATAAAACATTCACAAAATTGTATATAGAGAGAATGGAACATAATAATGGTATTTTTTTTAAGGATAATTATGTAGGAATGTGCATACATGTATATGTTGTCATGAAATGCCCGGGATAATATGAGCAAAAAAAAAAAACAGTTAGAGAAAAAGAAAACATAGAAAGGGTTTTCATGTTCATGTTTTGTTTAAGTTTTTCATGTTATTCTCTTCTTTTCTATTCGGTAATTTTTTTTTTGTTCAATAAATAAAAGCTTAAGTTATATAGCGAGTTAAGAGAAAGGAAACAGGGAGCCCTTTTAATGTTTCGAGTAAATAATTTGCTTATTTTTTTTCTTTTATTCTCTGTTTTTTGTTCTTCTCATTTATTTTTGGTTTATTTATGTTATTTTTTTTTTCTGTAGAGAGTTTGATAGTGAGATGTTTAATTTTTATATAATAGGGATCTTATAATTGCTTTATGTGTGTTTGATTGAGTGTTTTTTACTTTCAAAGATCCTACAAGTGTAATAATGAGTGAGTTTTCACATTAATATAATTGATAGTAAGTTGTTATTATATTAATGTTAGTTTAGTTGATATGCAGTACCTCAACTAAATTTACATTTTAGCACTCAGTAAATAAAATGTGACAGGAAAACTAGCAATAGCCTTACGTATTCGATATTGCATTAGCTAGGTTTTCAGATCATATTCAGCCTACACACAAATTACTGATATCAGTTATATTATAAACTTCGAAATTTCATTTAGATACGCATTGTTGAAGTCGAAAAATTTCTCTACTTCTTAAAAAAATATGAAAAATTTTTACACTTTAATCCGTAATTTTTAAATTATTTAAAGGGCAGGGCTTTAAAAGTGCGAAGAATTCAAATTTCAAATTTAAGTTAAGATTTACAAAATTCAAAAAAGTTATAAACATAGGTTTACCTACAAATTTATAAACTATTTATAGCCAGGAATTCTTATCAAACACCAAGCGGTTAAAATTAAATCTATTGAAGAACTCCCTACAAAATTTGGTATTCCTTTTTGAGTGTTGCTTGCTAATTTGTGATTTTCATAAAAAAAAATTATTGAGGGAAAAAATACTCCATTGCTGCAACTTTTCCAAAAAACAAAAAAAAATAAAATAAAAGAAAAATGAAAAGGGAACCAAAATATGAGAACAAAAATGTGAAGAGAAATGAAAAAAAAAAAATTTTTTTTTTAATTTTCTTTTTGTTTTATTTTTGGGTGGACCCTGCACGCGATCGCTTAATACATTAAAAGGGATGATTTAATTTTACATTTTTCTCCATGTTATTTTTGTTTTTGTAATTTTTCTTACCCCGTTAGTTTTGTTGAACGGTAGAGTATATAAATGTTACGTTGCTCTCTCTTTATTTTATCGAATATAATAATAATGAAAGGGTATATGAGAATAAAAAATTAAAAAATTAAAAAAAAAAACAGAAATTTTGACATGGACAGGAAACTGAATTGTATGGAAAGTACATGAAAAATAAGAAGAAAAAAAAATAGCAGAAATTGTTGAAAGGATTTTTGTTTTATTTATTTTGTTTTTCTTATCGCATATTATTTTCTATTCTTTATATACGGGTTTAACGGAAATGACAGCCAATTCCCTCCCGTTCACGTGTCAATTCACAAAATTAAGTGGATATTGACGGACGATTCGTTGTTGTTTTCTATATTTTTTTTTCCTCTTTATCAACAACAGCAAAAATAAAAAAATAACGAAAATTAACACTAAAAACAGGGGAAAATTTTTTTTTATTTTATTTTAATATCCTTTTAGATACAAATTAGATGTTATTGAAAGGATATAATTTTATAAAAGGATATTTTGTTTTTTTTATGGTGTACAAAATTAAGAGAATAGAAAATTGTTACTATATTTTTGTTCTTATTTTATTCTGATTCTCTTCTAATGTAAAATTAGTTTTAATAATAAAGAATGAAAATATCCTTTATTATCCTTAATTACTATACAAATTTTTTATTTCTTTTTCTGGTATGTAATAATTTTTTTTATATACTTTAATGGAAAGGAAGTGATGTAAGTAAAATGGGAGTATTTTTCTGTTCTCTTTTTGTTATTTTTTTTTTCGTGTGTAATTTAAGTGCCATAGATAAAAGGAATTTTTTTTTTGAAAAAAAAAAAAAAAATTCTAGGTTATGCACTTTGAATAGAATCTAAATTGAAATTTAAATGTGAGACTATATGAGTCATATGATAATAAAAAATAAAAGAGAAAAATTTAATAGTTTGATATTTTTTATAGTTAACTAATTATTATGCAATATTTGTTAGAGTTCTTACAACCCTTTTCTTTTTTATTAAAATTATTGTGAGAAAAAAACTCATTTGAATTGATAAAAATCTACAATATGTTGTACAATAAATAAATAAAAGTTCGAATTACGTCAGACTGTAACATACCTTCCTGTATAATTTATACTTAATTACAATGCCACATTTTGCATATAGACTGTATTTAAAATAGATAATAAGTATGGATTCAAGGTGCGGGATCTGTTCATACAATCACTTGAATTGTAGTTTTTAAAATTTATAAAAAAAAACAATTAAAAGTAATAAGGGCTTAAATTAGATTGAAATTTGATAATTTTTTCATCATTAAAAATTTATTGCTATTATTGTATATTGCAAGGGAGAGTGTTAAATGTATTTAGTATGTACACATTAAGCAATCAATAATACAAAACCTTTTTGTGGCTGATATTAGGCAACATAGAACCATTACATTTAATTATTATTTATAGGAGAAATATTGTAAATTTAAATATTAATTTTAAATATAAGATTGAAAAGTATGCAATCTATTGAATGTTTTTGAAGAAGGGATGATTGAGTTTCTTCACGTTATAATGTTGGTTCCAGCGAAAAGCACAAAAATATTATTTTAAAGTGATCCTCAAAATTTTTAGACCGTGTTTTAGTGAAACTACTTTAGTAAATTTTGAATCAGTTTTTTCGATAATTTTGCTGGAGGTTAAACTTAAAGGTGTTGGATTTGGGAATATTATTAAAAATCTGTTTCAAAATTATATCAAACTGAAAATGAACACAATTTTTCACAATTCTTCATATTTTATATTATTATGAGCCAATTAGGGCTACATTTTATATGAAAGAAGGATTTCAAACCTTATTATATATTGATAGAGGTCAAAATATAAAGTTTTAGTTGTATGTAAAGAAATTAAAAATTAATTTAAAAATTGTGAAAATTATGGCTACAACACGCATTTGAGTTTGCAAATGGTTGGGAGAGATTCAACTAAAAACTATATATGCATGGAAAAAAAGATTTTGTGATAAATGATCATATTCCGCTTGCTAAGCAAATATAGGATAAATTTAAGGATTAAAATGACATTGGCTTAATAAATAGAAACTAAAAGGTAAAAACAGAAAAAATTCAAAAATTAAAATTGGGGAATATTTGGGAGAAATTGTAATTTAAAAGTTATTTCAGGGAAAACCTTTTTCATTAGTGAGTTTAAATATAAACAAAATGAAAAAGCTCGTGTCAAGTCAATTAAGGATTGAGACAGACATGCAATTCCTAGTTTTACAAGTGTTTGCTTGCTTATTTGTATATTTTAAATGCTTATCATTTGTTAGTTACTATTTGATTACTTACTTGGTTTATATTCAAGCGTGCACACATGCAATTGTACGATCACATGCAATTAAGCAATCAAACAGTTTGTAAAAAATTATTTTTAACTGCCTAATTGCTTAATTGGCGCACTCGACTTAAATTGACGCAATAGTTTAGTTGTGTTGGTGTATCAGTAATAATTTTATAATCAAACAGCAATTACGAATTTGAAAATTGTATGTCTGTTTGAGTTCTTACACGAATTTTGTATGCGAGACACCAATTATTTCACCTCAAATACATACAAAATTGTTTAAGTAAGTGTATATGTGTTTCATTTATCCCAATCATTAGTAGCTAATAAAAAATTAAATGGAATTCTTAATTGTTTAATTTTTACTTAAAAATTAAATTACTTACAAAATTTTTCTTAATATCCTTTTTTGTATTTTCTTATTATTACAGATTGTTATTATTGGATCGAGACCGACAAAATGGTGTTGTAAGAGGTGGTTCACCACCACCAACTTATAGATCACATGCTGGTAGTTTACTAAGGTAATTAAATTTCTTTCTTTTTTTTTTATAAATTTTTTTTTTTTTGAATATTCAACAATATTTTTTTCAATTAAATTTTTTGTTTTTAACAATTGTGTACCCGCTTTTCGGTACTTTTTTTTCTCTTAATATTTAGTAAACGAAATTGATCACAATATTTATTGAACAGATTATTTTTTTTTTGTTATTGCTCTTGTAAATTTCAGTTTAATTCCTCACTCCCACACAATTAAAATTTTTGGTTAGCCTGTAAAATATACAGACACACATACATTTTTTTTTAATAAACAGTAAAGAATCACAGTCATTGTACACATCAGACATATTTACAATCAAACACATAATACTAGTATATTTAAGCTGTTAAATAAAAAAAAAAAATATTTTCATTTAATTCGATATTTTGTTTCAGGGGTCAGAAACTCTTAATTTCCTTCTTTTCTGGGATTTTGCGAAGGCTTTAAAGATAAATTTGTTTTTTTTTGTTTTATTAATACACAATTTTTTTTTTAGACATTGAACTCGTGTATTTTTGTGTACTATGTTAATTTATATACGTTAGATATAGGATTATTATGCAAACACAGAGTGTGACAGCATTCAATTTAATTTTTAAGAAGCAAAGTTGGAGATTGAAGACTTCCGCAACAAAGCATTCTAAAAAATTATGCTTATAACTACGAAAAATTTTGAAATTTCAAGCATGCTCTTATATGAAAGGAGAGGCTTGAATTTCTTAATAGTCGCAATGTTTGTGCCCTTTTCTAATAAATATGTTAATAATTTTTCCCATTAATATATGCAAATTACGATATTTGACGATATTAAGGAAAGCATATTTCATTTGTTACAATTAAATTTACTTTGAAAGCAAATTATTGTAAATGAATTAACCTAAAAGTGCTTCAAAGCCACTTTCCAAGTCTTAATTTTTTCATTCATTTTCAATTCCTTCAGCTAAAATTATGCTACATGACCTCTTTTGTAAGAGAACACATTGTTTCATCTCAAATATAAACACTGTTATTTCAATATTGCGTAACCCACCACAGCAGCGTTACCAATAATATATTTATAGAGAGAGTTGATACATTTTGGACAATATTTACCAGCTTTTATGTACATAATATTGATTTCCCATCTGTCAGGCATGAACCAACTATTCATATAGTATTTTCTGTTGTTTTTTTTCGAAGCGATAAAAAAAAGGTAGAAAAATAGAATTTTTAATGCGGCGGCTACAAAATAACAAATGTGTGTAGTAAAATAAAGAAAAAAAAATTTTCGATTCCTCGGGTTTTGCTTTCATTGTTCAAGAAAACTGGGAAGGGTAGGTAAAGGAGGGATTTTGAAATTATTGTAAAAAAATCAACTTCTTTTTTTTGTGTATTTTCTCTTTTTCACTTTTTTTTTAAGGGGATTTGATTCTTTTATGTGCTGTTATTGAGCTGAGTATGCAGGATTTTCTTTTCTTATATTATAATGAATTATTATTCAAATAAAAAAAGGGGTGAATGGTAATCTCAATTTTATTTCCATTTTATTTGTAATCGATTATAAATTTTATAAGGATTATAATGTTAAAGATTTAAAGTGAATATTTTTCCAATATATTAAGTGAAGTATATTTATACAGAAAGTATTGGAGACGCACGATTTATGTGTGTTTTCTTAAAAGATTAAATTAAAGTCTATATTATAAAAAAAAAAAAAGAATTTTTTCTGGTTCTTTTGAATATGATGGACCAAAAAATTTATCAAAATTTGAGGTTTTTTGTTTTTTTTTTCTGTTTCGTATATAAAAAATACTTCATAAATAAGATAATTCTCTTGAGATAGCTATTAAAGTTTTAAATTGTTTGGTTTTAGAATTAATATCAGTATAAATACAGTAGAATATCTATAAATTATATAAATGTTAAACAAATAATTTTAGCAACCTTCTAAGAATTTTGGTAATTAAGTGAACATTTAGAAATTTACATAGAGTGTGGAAGTGTATGCTCCGAATCCTACTCAATATTCAATTATATCATTATTAATTGTTCTTCGATTTCTATTATAAGCTCACATCTTATCTTTATTCTTATCTCAAATATAGTCTCATTTCGTGCCCTATTTCGGATTTTCATTTAGCATTTCAATAAAATAAATATAGCCAATGATTTAAGTTTTTCGATTAGCGAATACTAGGGTTAAAACATCAATTATTGTACATTTGTATGTTAAATCTAGTTGTAGCAAGAAATTGTGATCTGAACAGCTGGGGCCCTACTATATAATTCGAATTTCATGAAACGATTATCGTATTTATAGAAATGGAAAGGTAGTATATTACAAATTGATTGGTACTACCTTATCATTTTTCGCAGTTATCTGTAGTTATCTATAGTTATTAGGCGTCAGTCATCTATAGTGTCAAATTTAGAATACTGGACCAAATACATGTAAAGTGAGATTGGTTTGCTAAAAATTTATGATTAATAATGTGAAGCTATCTGCTGATCAGCGTCTATAATAATTGAATTCTACTGTTAAATAAAAAGAGTATTATAGAAATTTCCTTTAAATTTCAAAAATTTTTGTTTGATAAAGTTTGTTAAAAGTTTTAAAAGAAAATTTACATATTATTATTATCGTATTGAGGTTAACAAATCTCGATATCAGTAAAAAACATACATAAAATTTTGTTAAAAAAAAAATGAAATTTCCAAAATTTCCACAAAAAGTGAAAAGTTATGATAAAAAGTTATTCCAGAATCAAGATACTACGTGTATACAAAATGTCTTCTAAAATTGATTATATAATACGTTCCTGGTACTATATATCAAATACATATGTACAAAATGCAAGAGAAGAAGATGATACTCTTAATATTAAGAGAATTTATTTATTCCTTTTTTTTGAAAATCAAATCTCAAGAGCCATTGTTCCATAAATAATTCTTAATAATTTTAATTTCTTCTTATAAATTGATTTTCTTTTGAATTTCATATAGCTCAAATACACTCTTGTATATACGTGTATATGTATTTTTAAATTGTGACATGGAAAATAATTTTATTTATGTGATGCAGGAGAGAAATAAAATTTATGTAATTTATTTTTGGCATATTTTTACTAGTTTCGATTCGGTTAATAAATTCATATTTGGATATGGATGATTTTATTTTAATTGAAAATTTTTCAACTTGTCAAAAATAATATTATTTAGTTATTTAAATGCTTTTTAATTAATTAATTTTAATCGAGTTTGTATTATGCAATATTTCATTTAAACTCCTACATGTGACATTTTGGATTTATTAAACTATTTTGTATATTTTATTTAATGTACCATGAATTGTAGAAAATAATTTCTATATGGATATGAGATTCTGCAAGAATCTAAGGATTTATTTTAAGTTTTTAATGAACATTTAAAGTTAAGGTGGCTAAAGGCACATAAATAGAAATAATTGAGGTTGTGATGATAATGTTAAAATTGAAAGGTTTGAATGATTTAAATGATTGTCCAAATTTATTGACTTTTTTATTGAAAAGAAATTGTAAATTCTCAATTAATTTAAAATTAATAAATTGTTTTTGTTTTTAGTTAAGATTATTTGAAAATTGCAAAACTCAATTTGATTTAGTTAGATTTCCTATTCTATACCATAACAATCCATTTGTTCACACAATCGAAAACTCAACTTAAATTATTATTCAGTGTGATTTTGGATATACAAAATTTAACATGAAACTTTTTCAAAATTAAAAAATTTCATATTCTTGAGTTTCTCAAGTGTTGAAACTATATTAAATAGAAATCTCAGCAAAAAAACGAATAATCCAACTCTAGTATTAGTATCATAGGATTAAATTTATTATAGATTCGACTATAAATTTTAAAAATCAAAATAATTTTCAAAATTCTTCCCGTGTAGATTAGAACAAAACATTCTTGCTCATCATAAGCTAGGAGGTATATTGGAAAATTTATTGATTTCGAAGCTAATTTGTTTTAATTGGATCACTTGATAAAATTTATGTTTAATATTGCAAATAATTTTGGAAATAAGTACACATTCATCAATCTACTAATTTTATTCATATTTCTTAAAACTTCTTAGAATTTGTGATTTTTTTTGTAACATTTAATGATCAATTATTTTATGACAACTTTTTAGGTCGACATTTTAAAGATCATTATATAAGCATATTTTAAATCTCATTGTGAGTAATAAATCACTTTCATTTGGGAATACCTCATGTTACTTACATTATTTTTAAAAGTCGTCAACATCCTGAAAAGTTCCTTTTACTTTTCTACTATTTGTTTTTTTTTTTTTTTGTAATTTTGTATAATATTAATTTTGCACAAATTATTTAGTATTTATTTTTATTTTTCTTCCAAATTTTACGAAAAAATAAGAATTATTATCTAAAATTCTAAATAGTCCAATTTGAGATAATTTCTTTTTTTTTTGTAACTTGCTTTTATCAAATTCCCATGATACCATAACGCCATTAAACTTATTTTTATGCTATTTTCTATAATTCTTTTTGACAAAAAAAAAAATAAAAAAGGGAATAACTAATTTGTTGTATTTTTTAAAAATAATTTTTTTTCTTTCCTGTTATCATTTAATATTTATACGGCACTCACTTTATATTATGACGGCCTACAATATCTATCCGTAGACGGACTATTCTAAATTGATCATTTCATTTGTAATGCAAATTCAAAATGAAATTAGAAAATTATTTTCAATCATTTCTCAATTTCTTTCAAATTTCTCAATTTTCTGAAGGTGAAAATGACATTTTGTGTGGAGAAACAGAATTACATATTTAGAACAAGTTCTAATGGAATTTAAAACAGAGCAACAATGAAAAGGGATTGTACTATAAAAGTTATTTTCATAAATAAAATCATATTTTTAATTAGCTTTTCAAAAATAACTTCCTTTTCCTAGAATTTCTACATTGACAAAATCAATATTTAAAATAAAATTTC